AGAGTGTTTTTCACATGTCCCCTTCATAGCTCTGTTGTCTCCTTTTTCAAGTACGTATTAGTTGTTCATCCAGTTGGAATTCCCATTGCAGAATAATTGTGTGCCCAAGAAGATGCTGCAGCTGGTTGGTGTCACTGCCATGTTTATTGCAAGCAAATATGAAGAAATGTACCCTCCAGAAATTGGTGACTTTGCCTTTGTGACTGACAACACTTACACTAAACACCAAATCAGACAGATGGAAATGAAGATTCTAAGATCTTTAAATTTTGGTTTGGGCCGCCCTCTACCCCTGCATTTCCTTCGGAGAGCATCTAAGATTGGAGAGGTACAGATCTCTTTGGTAACTTTAAGTATGGTACATGATGAAATACTGCTAATCAAGCAGATCTAATTCAGCTGACTTATAAATCCGCATGAGGAAGACATAAAAATGTTCTTTATTTCCAATCAGGGTGTATATTAATATTTTCATTAAGGCCTTCCATGGGCAATTGCATTTGAGAGTTCATAGACAAACATTTGTAATTATAGGTACAGGCGTACTGCTTATTGCCAATACAGAATTCCCTGACCGAAGTTGAGACCTGTGGGTTTTGTTTCAGGTTGATGTTGAGCAACATACTTTGGCCAAATACCTGATGGAACTAACTATGTTGGACTACGATATGGTGCACTTTCCTCCTTCTCAGATTGCAGCAGGAGCTTTTTGCTTAGCACTGAAAATTCTTGATAACGGTGAATGGGTAAGCTCTGTCCCATAGACTTAGTTTACCCTAAGCTTTTAAATTGTAAGTGATGTTTGCATGAATACTGGACTTTTTACATTAAAGGACAATTCTAATGGTTTCTAAAAATACAGCATCTACTGAGAGAATGATTAAAAATGATTATCTTATTTGCCGTGTGTTCATCGGATACTCCCACTTCATTACCTAATTTCATCTTTCTATATAGAAGAAGACACTCAGGTCAAATGACAGGCTAGAAGTTCATTCATACTCCTTTGATGCACCAAATATTTCTCCTGTTTGCCATGTGCTACCCTATGCCCTTGGAGTAGAATATGCATGAGAATGTTGGTGTCAAAGAATTTGAGCACGTGTATAATAGATTTTTAAATACAGGGTCCTAGAGAAGCATGAAAGAAGAGTACCTGGGGAAGAAGGCATCTTAAATTTATCTTAAATTTCAGTTATAATCAGTCCTATGGAATCTCTTCCTACCCTACTCTTGACTAAGGTACAGAAATTTTATGAAAAGCATTGTTGAGCATTTCTAACATTAACTTTTGTTGCCATAGACACCAATTCTACAGCATTATCTGTCATACACTGAAGAATCCCTTCTAAATGTTATGCAACACCTGGCTAAGAATATAGTCATGGTGAATCGTGGGCTTACAAAGCACATGGTAAGTCGGGTACTGTAGATGTTGTGGGGGGATGTGGGAGGGTGCAGAGTGAAAATACGTAAGATTTCATGACTGCAAATGCATGGCTTATTTTTCCTTTTTTAAATCTTTGGGGGGGCAGTTAGAGATGGGAAGAGGTGGGTACAGAAGGAGAGAATTTTTTTTAATTTTATTTAAATTCAATTAATTTACATATACTGTATTATTAGTTTCAGAGGTAGAGTTCAGTGATTCATCAGTTGCATATAACACTCAGGGCTCATTACATCACATGCCCTTCTTAATGCCCATCACCCAGTTATGCCATCCTCCCACCTACCTCCCCTCCAGCAACCCCCAGTTTGTTTCCTAAAATTCTGAGTCTCTTATAGTTTATCTCCATCTCTGATTTCGTCTTATTTTATGGGAGAGAATCTTAAGCAGGCTCCACGCCCAGTGCATAACCCGGTGCAGGGCTTGATCTCAACCTTGAGATCATGATCTGACCCGAAATCAAGAGTTTGATGCTTAACCTACTGAGCCACCCAGACACCCTGATGCATAGCTTATTTTTTAAGTATTTGATGTTTTAAGTGAATATCTGCACCATGGGATCTTAACAATGTTTTCCTCTTTGTCTTTCATTAACTACTATGCTTTTCTCTTCCAGACTATCAAGAACAAGTATGCCACATCTAAGCATGCTAAGATCAGCACTCTGGCACAGCTAAATTCTGCACTAATTCAAGATTTAGCCAAGGCTGTGGCAAAGGTGTAACTTGTAAACATGAGTTGGAGTACTATAACTGCAAATAAAATTGGCACCATGTGCCATCTGTACATATTATATGTTACCTTTACTTTTAATAAAGTTTGTGGTCCTTTTTACTTCTTATACCTTAACTCATTTGAATGTCACTACTTTCCTACTTGAGGATAACCTAAAAGTTGTGTTAAAGGTATGATGGGGAGTATAAAAAGTGCTTTCAGTTTATTGGGACCCAACTTACATACATAATTGTTACTTGTGTGGTTTTTGTTTTATGTATTTGGCTTTTGCTTTCTTAATATGGGTTACTGTGGTCATGAAGGCATTTAAAGCCCTTCTGTAGGGCAGTACTGCATGTAAGCCCAATTGTCTTGAAGAATATGCAGCCTTATTCTGCTTAAAAGCCTGCCATCTCATCCTTAGGACCCCACCCCCTCTGTTTTCTGTTTCTTATGGTGGTTGCTGCCATAATTCTAAGTTTTTACTTCTACCACTATTTCTTAAATTATCAACTTAAGCTAATATCATTTTTTCACTTGCAAAAATAAGAACTTTATATTTTAAACCTAATTTACCTTTTTATTGTTTATTGATCAAATAAAAGTGGATCCTCAAAACCTACAAAAGTATCTAGAAAAGTTAATTTACTCTTTATGCCCCACTCCTACAGCTCAATCCCATCCATCTGAAGGTATCAACAGTTGGGGATAGATCCTTTGATACTTCTTCTGTAAACACAGACATACATATAAATTGTTACAGGGATTTCTAAGAAATGGGATTGTTCTATATATAAGCAATTCCTTTTAACATGTATAGATAGGCCTTGCCTGTATTTGGTCATTACATTACACAGTACGGATATACTAGTGTGTTCAACCATTCTGCTGTTGTCCTTCACCTTGCTTTTCCTCTTTGCTCCTACAAATGTCTTTATTATCATTAAATAACGTACTTTCCTTTTTGTACACTGGGTTCTCCAGACTATGTACAAAGTTTTGGCAGCTACTTAACAAAAGATGACTTTCAGTGTCCTCAGCAGTGTACAAAAGTTCAGTGTCCTTGTCAGAACTGAAGGCAATGATTCTCCACAATTTCTGTGAATTTTGCAAAAAATCTAGTTTGCTTTTGTAATTTATAGTTTTGATGGCTAGTTGAATAAATTTTTGTTGACTACTTATCAATATGTAAGGTTTTCCCATTTTGTCTTTTGCCTTTTGACTGTTTATACTCTTTTGTCATGCAGACACTTTTAAGTTTGTGTATTACCAAATCTACTTTTTTTCCTGTAGTTGCTTTTGGATTTTCAGTCTTTTTTTTTTTTAAGATCTAAAGATTTTAGGGGCGCCTGGGTGGCTCAGTCGGTTAAGTGTCTGCCTTCGGCTCGGGTCGTGATCCCGGAGTCCTGGGATCGAGCCCCGCATCGGGCTCCCTACTCAGCAGGAAGCCTGCTTCTCCCTCTTCTACTCCCCCTGCTTGTGTTCCCTCTCTCACTGTCTCTCTCTCTCTCAAATAAATAAAATCTTTAAAAAAAAATTTAAAGATTTTATTTATTTGCCGAGAGATAGAGCACAAGTAGGCAAGAGTGGCAGAAAGAGGGAGAGGGAAAAACAGGCTCTCCGCTTTGAAATCTAAAATTTACTTTTAGGTAACAACAGTTCTCTACATTACTCTGTGCTCATCACATTAAGTCTGCTCTTAAGCCCCTTCACCTATTTCACTCATCCTCCCACCCACCTAGCAGTTGGTTTTAACTAGTCCTCCCCATGATTCTGATTCGTGCTGAGGAACTACTGCATTGTCTTTGTCCCAAATTTGGCCTGGGACACCAGATAGGCAACTGCTTAAAAGTATGCGGTTGATGTGAGATATTGGAAGACATCCAGGGTAAACCTAAAAAACAGTAACACTGCCCTTTTTGTGTAAAAAAATGAAAGGAAACCATGCTTTTCCAGGAGTTTGGGGGTAGGAGTGGCGAATCTACGGTCTTACATCCTTCTGAATCGAAAATTATACCGGGAGCTGTTACTTTCATAATGAAGAGGAAGAAAGGAGAGCGCGCACTGTGTGACCAAGTATAACTCAGGGGAAACTAGTTATTTAAGGGGAATGCTCGGCTTTCTTGTTCAGAGGTCTGAGTTCCTGCGCTTTTGCTACAAAGCTAGAGCGACAGCCCTTAATGAACTACAATCAGGAATTTATCCGTCCTGCATTTTCTCCGTTACCTGCTCACCGCCCAGCTGAAAAGCTTAACTGCAACCTAGTCAGTCGACAAGCTAACACTTCGGGGCACATAACTGTTAACAGAGTGCGAATCTTACTGATAGTGAAATTTCACGCTGCAAGTCTGGGGTTCAAGTATATGCACTGCCTCGTAGGGGCTTTAGGTATCCCTGAACTTCGTCAAACGAGGGGTGTCTGGACGTTAAGAACTCAGATCGAAAGTCTACTTAAACAAAACAATCCTCCATTGTTTCCCTTTCTTGGCCTGCCCGAGTACACCCATTTTCCAAGGCTGTGAAGGTTAACGGAGTGCCAAGATGGGTCCAAAAACCGCTGTCCCGAAGATCCACTGTCCTAGAGCCAAGGATGATTGACCATATGTGTCGGGGTTTTCCCTTCCAGGCTTCCAGGCGGTTCCCGGGAGGCGGAGTGTGTCCCAAACGGCTGTAACCCAAACCCTAGCCCCAGCACTCGACAAAGCTGATGCCTAAAGTTCCACTTTTTCTTAGTAGTGGTCTTATACTAGTCGCCGGAATAAGAGTGAAAAGGAGTAACCACGGCTACCAGAGAACGGGACGGAAGGGGTGGGACCGTAGGGCGGAAGGGGCGGGACGGAGAGCGGCGGTTCTCCGGCCTTTTCCGGGCGTCAATTTAGTGGCGGGAAAATCGGGTCCTGAGGCTTCCTCTTTCCGTCCCAGGCGATTCCTCTTCGCGCCAGTCAGAATGGAGAAGCAACCCGGAGAGCAAGCGGCCGCCGAGCCCGCGGACTCCGGAGCGGGAGGCGGGGAAGGCGGGTCACCACAGGTCGCCGGCGCCCAGACGGCGCGTCCCGAGGACCGCTTGACCCTGCTGCTCAGGTTGTTCCCTCTGGCCGGCTCGGCCGGATCCAGAGCCCCGCCCTTTGTTGTCAGGGTCCCGAAGGCTTCGAATTCTGACTTGGTTGCTTAATAGCTGGGTCATGCGTCATTCAGTTTAGCTCCTTAAGCCCTTTCATCTTCGAAAAAGAGGAGAGTTACATCTTCTTAATAGAGTTGCAGTGCCCCGGGCCCTTCAGAGCTGTTATTTCCCCTCCTTTTCTCATCTACTCAAGCCCTGCGGCCCCGATATTTAAACGGGTTGTGGGGTGCATCTAAGGCCTTAGCTACATAAAAAAACGTCCTGCCTTTTTATTTTATGGTTACGACCCCTTTTCAATCCCGGAGATTGATTTGTTATATTTCCTACCAAGAGGGTGATGTTTGTACTTTTCCACTAAGCCTGGTGTGGCTTTTGGTGTGGCCCCTCAAGCTAAGAATAGTTTTTATGTCTTTAAGTGGTTGGGACAAAAAAAATTCCTGGAGGGATATTTAGTAACACGTGAAAATTATATGAAATTCAAATTTCAGTGCCCTTAAGGAAAGGTTTATTGAAACACAGCTTTCCTGCGGCAGGGTCTGTGTTGAGTAGCTACAGTAGAGGCCGTACGAATCACAAAGCCTAAAATACTTGTTTGGTCCTGTACAGGGGGATATTCTAAATCATAGTAAGGCGATTTTTTTTCTCCCTCCCCTGTATTTTAGCTTTACCACTACTTTGAAAGGTCTTGGCTAATAAGCCTCACAGTCTCACTTTAAAAATTCCCTCCTACCTATAACATAAAATTCTGAAATAATAAAGATATGGGATCACCTTTTTTATCTCAGCTAAGAGAACTGTTCTTACAGTGTGGTGTGTTTTTTAATTATTTATTTATTTATTTGACGGAGAGAGAGAAAGAGCACACCAGCAAGGGGAATGGCAGGCAGAGGGAGAAGCAGACTACTACCCACTGAGCAGGGAGTTTTATGTAGGGCTCAATCCCAGGACGCTGGGATCATGACCTGAGCCACCCAGGCATCCCTTACAGTGTGTTTTAAAATGCTAGCCTAGTTTCTTAATCTGTAAGAAATTCTTTTCATTTGGAATTTTAAACATAAGCAGCTTAAACCATGGAGGTTTAAAAATCCTTCTAATGTCACTTAGCTACTTGGTCTCAAAATCACAGAGCAGTTTCAGAATTATGAAACTACCATGTAAATGTCCAACCTCTTGTAAGTTAGCATTTTACCCATAGCTTTTCTACTTATTTTATGTATGATTTTCAATTAAGTACAATCTTAGGACAACCAAGAAACTATATGAATTATCTATCCAAGAGTTAGTATATTTATTTTTCTGTCTCCTAGGAATGTTACAAACTTTTTAAACTCGTTAAAATGCGGTTTTCACCATTTTGATGTATTTCTTCCTTGTGTAGCCCATATTTCTTGAGTGTGGCATATAATAAATTTGAAAATCAGAATTTTAACTTTTCCCAATAGTTGCTATTTTCCCACTGGAGTCCATTTTGCATCTTCCTCTGAGGCCCCCTTTTTTAAAGATATTTTTATTTTATTTTTTTAAGATTTTATTATTTATTTGACAGACACAGCGAGAGAGGGAACACAGGCAGGGGGAGTGGGAGAGGGAGAAGCAGGCTTCCCTCGGAGCAAAGAGCCCGATGCGGGGGCTCAATCCCAGGACCCTGAGATCATGACCCGAGCAGAAGGCAGATGCTTAACAACTGAGCCACCCAGGCGCCCCAAGAGATTTTTATTTTTAAGCAATTTCTACACCCGGTGTGAGGCTCCAACTCACAACCCAAACTGAGCCAGCCAAGTGCCCCATAAGATTTGAGCATAGTTGACACAATGTTAACATTAGTTTCAGGTGTACAACTTACTGATTTGAAAAGTTTAGGGGCGCCTGGGTGGCTCAGTCGGTTAAGCATCTTCCTTCAGCTCAGGTCATGATTCCAGGGTCCTGGGATCGAGTCCTGCTTCGGGCTCCTTGCTCAGCAGGGAATCTGCTTCTCTCTCTGCCTGCCACTCCCCTTGCTTGTGCTCGCTGTCAAACAAATAAATAAAATCTTAAAAAAAAAAAAAGAAAAGTTTGGGCGCCTGGGTGGCTCAGTTGGTTAAGCAACTGCCTTCGGCTCAGGTCATGATCCTGGAGTCCCGGGATCAAGTCCCACATCGGGCTCCCTGCCAAGCAGGGAGTCTGCTTCTCCCTCTGACCCTCTTCCCTCCCGTGCTCTCTATCTCTCATTCTCTCTCTCAAATAAATAAATAAAATCTTTAAAAAAAAAAAGAAAAGTTTATGTATTATGCTATGTTCCCCACAAGTATAGCTTACCACCTCTCCCATTACATAACTATTACAATATCACTGACTGTATTCCTTATGCTCTGCTTTTTTTCTTTAAATTTTTTATTGTTATGTTAATCACCATACATTACATCATTAGTTTTTGATGTAGTGTTCCATGATTCATTACTTGTGCATAACACCCAGTGCTCCACGCCGAACGTGCCCTCTTTAATACCCATCACCAGGCTAACCCATCCCCCTACCCGCCTCCCCTCTAGAACCCTTAGTTTGTTTTTCAGAGTCCATTGTCTCTCATGGTTCGTCTCCCCCTCTGATTTCCCCCCCTTCATTCTTCCCCTCCTGCTATCTTTTTTTTTTTCTTAACATATATTGGATTATTTGTTTCAGAGGTACAGATCTGTGATTCATCAGTCTTGCACAATTCACAGCGCTCACCATAGCATATACCCTCCCCAATGTCTATCACCCAGCCACCCCATCCCTCCCACCCCACCCCCACTCCAGCAACCCTCAGTTTGTTTCCTGAGATTAAGAATTCCTCATATCAGTGAGGTCATATCATACCTGTCTTTCTCTGATTGACTTTTTCTTTTTTCTGATTGACTTACTTCACTCATATGCTCTGCTTTTTATTCTGGTGACTTAGTCATTCCATAACTGGAGGCCTATACCTGCCTCTCCCCTTCACCAGTTTTGCCCAACCCCCCTCTCTGACAACCATCAGTTTGTTCTCTGTATTTATAGTTTTTTCTTTAAGATTTTATTTATTTGACAGACACAGCAAGAGAGGGAACACAAACAGGGAGAGTGGGGGAGGGAGAAGCAGGCTTCCGCTGAGCAGGGAAGCTGGATGCGGGGATTGATCCCAGGACCCTGGGACCATGACCTGAGCTGAAGGCAGACGCATAAAGACTGAGCCACCCAGGCGCCCCTGTATTTATAGTTTTGATTATGCCTTTTGTTTATTCATTTTTTTTAGATTCCATTTATGTCTGAAATCATATGGTATTTGTCTCTGATTTATTTCACTTAACATAATACCTTCTAGGTCCATTGTGTTGTCTCAAATGGCACAATCTCATATTTTATGGTTGTAAATATTCCATAGCGTATATGCCACATTTTCCTTATCCATTCATCTACTGATGGATATTTAGGTTGCATGTCTTGGTTATTGTAAGTAATGCTGTGGTAAACAGGGATACATATATCTTTTCGACTTAGTGTTTTTGCGTTCCCTGGGTAAATTTCAAATAGTGAAATTATTGGGTCATATGGTATTTCTACTTCTGATTTTCTGAGGAATCTCCATACTCTCTTCCACAGTGGCTGTACTAATTTACATTCCCACCAGCAATGCAGGAGGGTACCCTTTTTCTCCCCATCCTCGCGAACACTTGTTGTATTTTTGTCTTTTTTATTTTAGCCATTCTGACAGATGTGAGTGATATCTCATTGTGGTTATGATTTGCATTTCCCTGATCATTAGTCATGTTGAACTGCATCTTTTCATGCGTCTGTTGGCCATCTGTATGTCTTATTTATTTATTTATTTATTTATTTATTTATTTATTTATTTATTTATTTTTAAGATTTTATTTATTTGACAGAGACAGCAAGAGAGGGAACACAAGCAGGGGGAGTGGGAGAGGGAGAAGCAGGCTTCCCGCAGAGCAGGGAGCCGGATGCGGGGATTGATCCCAGGACCCTGGGATCACGACCTGAGCCAAAGGCAGACGCTTAACGACTAAGCCACCCAGATGCCCCATCTGTATGTCTTCTTTGGGAAAATGTCTATTCAGGTCACCTGCCCATTTCTTAATCAGGCCGTTTGTTTTTTCTTTTGGTGTTGAGTTGTTTAAGTTCTTTATATATTTTTGATATTAACCCTTATAAAATAAATGATTTGCAGAGATCTTCTATTAAGTAGGTTGCCTTTTCATTTTGTTGATGGTTTCCTTTGCTATGCAAAAACTTATTTTGTTGTAGTCCCAATAATTTATTTTTGCTTTTGTTTTTCTTGCCTCAGGAGACATATCTAGAAAAATTTTGCTATGGCCAATGTCAGAGAAATTACTGCCTATCTTCTCTTCTAGAATTTTTATGGTTTCGCCTCCTGTTTAGGTCTTTAATCCATTTTGAGTTTAGTTTTATGTATGTTGTTAGAAAGTAGTCCAATTTCATTCTTCTACATGTGGCTGTTCAGTTTTTCCCAGAACCATTTATTGAAAAGACTGTCTCTTCCTCATTGTATATTCTTGCTTCCTTTATCATAGATTAATTGACCATATAAATATGCGTTTATTTCTGGGGTCTCTATTCTGTTCCATTAATCCATTTGTCTATTTTTGTGCCAGTACCATACTGTTTTGATCTCTACAGCTTTGTAGTATATCTTGAAATATGGAATCGTGATAGTTCCAGGTTCATTCTTCATTCTGAGGATTGCTTTGGCTATTTGGGATCTTCTACGGTTCCATAAAAATTTTATTTTATTTTAAAATTTTATTTATTTATTTGAGAGAGAGAGAGCATGAGAGAGTACAAGTGGGGAGGGAGGAGGGAGACAGGGAGCAGGAGAAACCGACTCCCCGCTGAGCAGGGAACCCGAAGCAGGGCTCCATCCCAGGACTCTGGGATCATGACCTGAGCCGAAGTCAGATGCTTAACTAACTGAGCCACCCAGGCA